CTGAGCATAGTGCCTTGCATTATCTTTCTTCGTTGGAGCACGAGGATAAGAAAAATTTTGAATCGAAATAGTACTCACTTGTTCCTTCCCATTTCTAATCTTTTTATTTTTCATCTTCTCTCTTTTTCTTTTCTTCTTCCACATTCTTTTTCTTTTCATTTTCAACTAATTCTCCCTCGACATTTTTTTCTACTTCGCTCTCATCAATTTCCTTTTATTTTTCAAATACTCCCTCTTTTTCCATAACTTCCTCACTTATAATCATATCAATTTCTCTACCACTTCTAGTAAGAATAGATTTGCAAGGCTCTTTTGGATTCACTTGAGTATTTGTCGGAAAACTTCCTTTGTATTGGTTGGCCAATTGTTTAAGTAATTGCCTCACATGCGTCTCAAGGTTATTTATAGTCGCACCAGTGTTCTTTTGATTTTCCATTAACGTTTGCATAAATTGGGTGAGGGTGTCTTCCATCTTTGAATTTCCACTTGGAGCTTGTGGAGGTTGAAAGTAATTTTGGTATTGATGTTGACGATTAGAAGTTCTGGCTTCTTGCGGCCTCCATTGTTGTTGATAACCTTTGTTACCTCTTTGTTGGTAACCTTGGTTGCCTTGTTGGTAAGGTGTTCGAGATTGATAACCTTGGTTTTGGTTTCCCGTGTAGTTATCCTCTTGAACCACCAGAGGACAATACCCGGTAGGGAGATCTCCTTTACAAAGCTCATAACCTGCCACTCATTTTTTGTTGTTGGGAATTTCTTGTATTTCTTTTATTTGTTGTAGAATTTTTGAAATTTGTTGAGTCAACAACTCCACTTGTTGTGAAAGCAGTTTATTTTGTGCAAGAATCGCGTCATTTATTCCCAACTTTATCATGCCCGATTTTCATGGAGGTGTATCACAATTGTGATTTATTTGGTGGTCATTGAGTGCCATCCTATCAATAATATCAATTGCATCTTCTATGCTTTTGACATTAACAATACACCCAGGATTTTGATATAAAAGAGCAAGGATTCTAGTTTTTATCTCATAATGCCTCCGATTGTGGGTGTTGCATGCAAACTGAGAGTTGTGTCTTGGACTGTTGGTACATGGAGTTGAAGCAGGAGGTGGAGGTGGAGGTGGATTTTCCAGGTTTGGCGTAACAATGGGTGTGGATGAAGAAGATTCTCCGCGCTCTTGTCTTTCTTTAGCAAGTTGTCATCTCCTTCTAGTTATGCTATTGAGTCTACGAGCAGTTCTTTCAATCTTAGGACCAAAAAAAAGTTGGTCTGCAAGTACACTCGCTCGTATAAACAGATTTTGCACACTAGCTAAAAAAATTAAACAGCACAAGAAAATTACACAGAGGTAAGAGATAATAATACAAATATCTTAAAAACCAATAAATTATTGCAATGCTTGCAATATCAATAACAATCCCCGGTAACTACGCCATTTTGTTGAAAAGTATTTTAGGTGGGTTATTTTATCGTATCCGCATGGATTGTCCTGATATCTTGATGCTTTCCGTTCAAAAGTTTAAAGTTCTATGAAAAAGGTTTTTAAAGAGTTTTTGTTTTGTAACATATGTTTTGGTAGCAAATAGTAAGTTAAAGAAAGATGTTTTGTTTTAAGAAAAGCATGTCAATATTAAATTTTTTAAACCCGTTTCATACATATCCGAATAATAAAGCATGTGAACTTAGTTTAGATCAATACAATCGTGTATCATCTCGATTCCGTTTATTTCTAAAGTGGCTTCTTGGGTATTATTGTTTCTTTCGTTAGATGATTTCTCTATACAACAATTGAAACAATAAACATAAAGATCGATACAAAGAAAATATTAACTCCCAAATCTATGCCTAGAGTTTATTTGTTAATAGATGAATAAATTAGATCAAGACTTGGAAAATCTGTGTCTAGAGTGATTCAAACCATATACATCATTAAGAGAAAAGATCTTCATCATATATTGATCATCAACTTTGTTCACATACAAAAGATCATAAGAAATACATACTAGTAGGGTTAACTACCTCTAATCTTGACACAAAAAGTGTTTAGCTAGTCATCACCATGGTAGCTTAATCAACAAGTAAAAAGGAAAATTTTGCTAGCATCAAAGTTGAAAGATCGAAGATTAATGCTATAAAGTTTTGATTCTCACTTCTCTTGGAATTTCTAAGCTTTTTGCTCTAAAAATCACTTTACAATCTGAAAAGTTGATGAAATGAAAAGTGTTTTAAAATATCTACTCAAGTGACTATTTATACAAAGTCCACAATATGCCTGTAAGTGGCATCGCGCTAAGCGCGGTTGCAGCGTGCTAAGCACGGTCAAGGGTTCTTAGCTAATGCCTTTTCATCAAAAATGCGCTGAACCCGCATTGAAAATTGCACTAAGTGTGAGTTACCGTCAAAATGTAGCGAAATTGATCTTGAAAGCCCTCTTCCATCATCCATAGGTTCCAAGCATTATATCAAGTGAGAAAACCTATGAAAAAGCATAAAAATGATCATAATTCACATTATTTACAAGCATAATTGGAAACTTGCGTATTTACACTAAAATAAATGAATTTACTACTAAAACACCAAAGAAACAACTGGAAAGGGGCACAAAATTCTATAAAAAATATGCACAATTTGCCTCTTAACAGTAATCAAAGTTTAAATTTTAAGACAATTGGATGAGATGTAGTTCTTCAAGAACATTTGTATATATTGAATAATGTTGATGAAGTTTAACCTTAGTAATCTTAAAAAAGATATATCAAGGAAAAGTTATCGCATATGAGTGAAAAATCGTTGTTGACAAAGCATAACGATTGTTTCATAAACTATTTTAATGAAAGGGTTTCTAAAAGAAAAAATGCATCCGTGAAAATTGAATGGATGAAAAATATGTCTAAGTTTAATGTAATAACTTGGAGTGCATACGACATTAGTAAATCTTTATGTTATACAAAATCTAAGGATGATCGTAATACCATGCAAAATAATGGAGTTATAATTGAGGTTGCATTCATGTATTTCATTAGTTGCAAAGATAATAATATTTTAATGTCATATAGACCGTAATTTAGGGTCATTTAGGAGATTTGAGAGATTGATTATGTTATATTTAAAGTGCCTTTATTTATTGCAAGTGGATTGACAACAACAGTAGTGTAAAAGTCGATAAATTAGGATCTACTCGGGTTGACCTTCATAAGACAACTTATATGAATTAACCATTCATCATGGCATCTCAGGAAAAACTAATTTTTTATGTCACTAGCCCATCTAACAATAGATGGCCAATTGTTCTACAAGGAAAACATATTTTTTATAGTGATGCAAATTAAGAGGTAACTCTTGATATTTCTGAGACCTTTTCTTTCGTATACATATGTGTATCTCATATGAAAAAAATAATTTATATGATATGCATGTTTTTGGTTATGATCATCAAGAAAGAAAACTGATCTGACCTGATCAGAAAGGGATCGCTGACTGCCACGCGTCTTCGACTTGTTGCCTGCTCACCGGTATTGAAGGAGTGAAGGGGGTGTACCTGCAAGACACTCCGATGCTAAAGTAAGCGTATGGACAGAGTGATCACAAGCACTGGAAAAAGGGGTAAGAAGTGAATTACCTGACCCTCTTGTGAAAGAGGGTATTTATAGAGAGACCCCAGCGTTGGGCCAACGGTCACTTGTGTTGGGCAGGATTGTCAGGCCCAACCCAGGCGACTGCTAGGGCTTACGTGGCGTAATGAAGACCAGGACGTGGTCTTCGCCCTAGTCCAATTGTCCCGTGATCTCCGGAAAGTGGGTTTGACCTGCTCTTTCGGAGGTGGGCAGTTGGTCGGTGACGTGTCCCCGCAGAGGGGAGCACGTGGAGAATGTGTGAAGGACACGTTGTCCTGCCCGACAAGGGAGCGGGTTCTGCCCGCGGAGGGGAAGGTCCTGCCCACGGAGAGGGCAGTGTCCGGTCGACGGGAGAGTCTTGTGCTCGACACATATGGGGCAGGTTCTGCCCGCGGAGGGGCATTACCTGTCCACCGTAGATCTTGTGCCCGGAGGCTGCGGCCCACGCTGGTCTGGGTTTGGCAGAATATTATTGGGTTGGGGCTGCCTGGCCAAGCCGGGGCCCAGGCCAGAATAAAAACTAACAAGTAAGTATTTTATTCAACTTAGTAATATATATTTATTGATTGAATGATTAATGTTGTTGTTATTGAAAATTTAATGTATTTGTTGTTGTGCTATCAATATTGTTTTTATATATGTCCTTCAAATTATAAGTATTTAATGACCGGATACCATTATGAGATGAAGACTTTAGGACGTTAGTTTAGAAGTTTTCACTTTAAATTTTTGTCTTACGATAGTCATTTATATTTGCTTTTTAATTTTGTTCTATTTAAGTTATATTTAAGTTCAGTTTTGTTTTAAAAAATTATTATTTTCTATTTCAAAATAATTTAGGTTCAATTTTGTTTTTAAAAAATGCAAATTAAAATAAAAAAATTTAAAATTTTAAAAAATAAAATAATAAACAAGGGTATTGTCTTTTTTTCTCCGTTATGAAATCTAATCGAGAGGAAAAGTAAGCCCCCTTGAAAGTAAAAAAGGTTGTTTTTGAGGTTCCAAAATTTCTCCATTTTACTATTTTTCTTAGTATAATTTATGCAGTTTTCTTGCAAGTAGATTCATTTATATGTTCTTATACATTTTTTCTTAGGTTTCTTGCAACTCAATCTTTAAAACTTGAACTTTAAATCTGACAAGTTATAGTCCTATATTGATCATCAAAATTTATTTGTTAAAATTTATAACTTTCATTGTCAAAGAAAAGATATAACAGATACATCATATATAATTGATTTATCATCAAGTTCTTCAACTTTTAACCAATTATAAAAGATATAATGGATACATCATAATAGATTATTCTTCAACTAACAGAAGTAGAAAGACATAAAAAATAGGAATTTATATGAAAACTTAACAAAAAGTTATATATCACATCTACACAGGAAACTTGGCCGCAAGGCAAAGATGATTCTTCTTGTGTTGAGTGAGTCCTGGCAACCTTTCGGTATCAATATCTTCCTTCAACAATCCATCTGGCAATTCCCAATCAAAAGAATAAAGAATATTAGCAAGGATAAGTTCCAATGATGCAACTGCCATAGGCATGCCCGGACAAATTCTACGACCAGTTCCAAATGGAATTAGTTCAAAGTCTTGTCCAAGAAAATTAATCGAACTCTCTAAAAATCTCTCGGGGTAAAACTCTTCAGGATCTTTCCAAACATTAGCGTCTCTTTGAATTTCCCAGGCATTCACAAAAACTATTGTCTTTGCAGGAATTTCGTAGCCGCCTATTGTGCATTTATCTCTTGATTCTCTTGGCACAAGCAATGGAGCTGGTAGATACAATCTTAATGTCTCTTTTATCACTGCGTTCAAGTAGGTGAAATTTTGTATATCATCTTCGTCTAAAAACTCGTTTTTGGTTCTTGAATTCCTAATCTCCTGTTGTACTTTCTTCATTACTCTTGGATTTTTTATTAGCGCGGTCATAGCCCAAACAATTGTCGCTGATGTGGTATCTGTTGCAGCTACAAGCATGTTCTGTAGGTAAAGAAAACTAGTTGTAAAAAACTTATTAACAATGAATTATGTAACCAGGACCGTCTTTGCAAGCCGGGCAATCGCACAGAAACTATAATTTGTCAGAGTTAAACTATAGTTAAATAGGATCTCAACTTTGACTTAAACTAAAACAAAAATCAAATTTTAAATATGAATCAAGAGAACTTACCATGAGGACTCCTTTGATATGATCAAAAGTGAGGTCAATTGAAAACAAACGTTGCTTCATCAATTGGAGTAAGACATCAACAATAACATCTGCATCTCCATGTTCTCTATTTGGATCCAAACGTTCATCAATAACCTCTTGGTAAAACTCATCCATCTCCTTGAAATTTCGTTCGAGACGCGCACGAAGTCCAGATAGTATATCAATCCAGCCCATGAATGGAATATAATCAGAAACAAAGAAAGCTGTCAACATAGCCTCAAACTCATGCAGCATCCCATGGAATTTACTCCTTTCTGTTCCTTCATTCTCATACTTCCTTCCGAAAGCAATCCTACAGATTATCGTACTCGAGAGAGAAGTTAATAACTCGCTCAAATTCGTAACAGCCGAAGCAGCAGCATGATTAGAAATCTTTTTGATCATTTGCTTCACCTCAAACGTTCTTACAGACGAATAAGATAAAACACGCTTGGCGCTAAATATATGAACAACACAAGTTTTTCTTATATCTCTCCAAAATTCACCATATGGAGAAAATACAATTTCTGAGCCATTGTAAGATAGTTTTTGTTGACCATATAATATAGGTCTATTAGAAAACAAAAGATCATTGTTTTTGAATATTTCTTTGGCAATTTCAGCTGAAGAAACAACAATAGCTTGTCTTAAACCAAGTTGAAGTGAAAATAATGGTCCATATATTTTTGAGAGTTTTGAAAATTGAAGATAAAGATTGGAATTGTCTAGCTGATGAAGGTTCCCTACTATTGGCAAACCTCTAGGACCAGGAGGATAAGGTGCATTATTGGTTCTTTTACGTTTCAGAAAGAAAAGAAGAAATGGAAATGTACTTAGAAATAAAACAAGCAAAATTAGTGATAACATAATGTTATCAATTATGAAGAGGAAAAATTTATTTGGTTCTGTTTACTAAACTAAAGAAATGCTTTAGTTTGTTAACTTCAATATAGAATATATATCCACACAATTTTGGAACTTGAAGATAAGATAAAGTAACAGGCAGGATGGTATGTCACCATTTAAGAGAATTCCTGATTGTCTATATAGTAGAATGGACGTCCATTCTCAAATACGTCGTGCTTTTTTTGAATGGCTTGCTCGGTTTGTGTGAACATGGAGTTCCCAATCCACATCAGTGCAAAAACGGATTAAGGGGAAAATTATCACGATGTTTTAAATAATAGAGGATTAATTGTCTCATTTCTCCTACTTTATGAATAGGTTACTAATTCCTAGGATTCTGAGATTCAGGTTAAGGAATTCTTATAAATACTTCAACCTCGGGTTGAAAGGGGATCCAATTTATTATGCAAATACCATAGACAATGAATATAAACTCCATGTGTTAGCTAGCTCTAACCCGACAACAAACCCTAAAAACCTTTGTAAGCTAACCTCACAACAAACCCTATAAACCTTTGTAAGCCCTTATTTATTAGAGATTATCACATGTTGTACTTTTATAAGTACAATTGGCGCTCGTTGCATGGCCTCATTAAATTTGATCTGCGCCACACTCACCATAACTCACGATTTGTTTTCGCCGCCTTCTCTCGGGGGATTCTTAATGAAGTTCTAAGACCCTTATAAAGTCTGTTGTTAAAGGTTTTGCAGGTGGAGGGGAGTCTAGTTCCTCTCGTAGAAATATGTCATTTAGGTTTTGAAGGAGAACATCATGCCCACGAGTATAACCAAAGCATTGCGGAGAAAGTTGGAATCTAAAATCTCATTCTCCCGTAAATACGCCATTAGCATTCTTCCCCACAACAATGATCTCATGGTCATTATAATGTAATACGATGATTCAGATATAAAGAGAGTATTAAGAGACCCTGGAAGCTCAACATATAAATTGCTCTAGAGAGCTTTCCAAGGTCTCCAGCTTGACACAAATGTCATCAGAGTTTTCCAGGGATCTCTCGTTGGTCATTCAGGCGAACAAGTACAAGTAAATGGTCATATGATGCTCGAAACGACGTTCAACTTAGAGGAAACCGCAAAATGATTAAAGTAGCGTATCTCGTGGTGGACGCCTTGTCTCTATACAATGTCATCCTATGGATGTTCACCCTGTTGCGGTGAGAATCGTGATACCAAGCTATTGATTAACTTGAATCTTAATTCTTAAATTCACAACCGGACTTTAATTTATCCAAAGGAAAGGTCTAAAGAAAGAAAGAACCTTTTGCGCGATGTAACAACAACGTTAAGAGATTCGGGAATCGGGGGTTGGTTATGCCTAGGGTAGGTATTTCACATCCTAAACATCTGTAGTACTCTATAGGAACCTTTTGTTTGCTTGTATGCTAAGTTTGCTAAATGTTTGCTATGGATTGGGATTGGGTAAAAGATGTAGGTTAAGACCTAAGGATAGTTTCTAAGTTTGCTCGCAAAGACATCGCGTCCTCTGCCTACGTATCCTTACTAGGATAGAATCAGAGCAATCGTAGTTCACCTCACTAGGGTCGAAGAACACTTGATTATGATCGAGGTTCAAAGGGGAACAAACATTACAATGCTTGTGTAGAGTTTAAGGAAACTCTCTAGATCTACATTGAACACTCAAGAAAGGGGAGTAAGTAATCATCTCCATGATTCTTACATAGAGTTAACAAACTCTATCTTAAGGTCTAATTGAAGGAGCACTCTTTAACAAAGGGTGGGCTTTTTAGACTTAAGCAAAGTCTAATGGATGGGTTCTAACTTAACTAAGTGCATGGATGACTTAACAAAGTCAATGGAGGGTAATGAGCTATTTATGACCCAAGGGTCAATAGAGAGACTTTCCTTTGGAAGGGAAAAGAGGAGGCAACTTGGATGAGAACTAAAGAGTTCCATCACTTTGGGGAAAAATAAACTTAACAAAGCAATAATCATTCAAACATGATGAATACAAGAGACATGGTTACAACCAAGAACAGGCAAACATATTACAATAGGTCAGGATTACAGTCAAGAGGAATGGTTACAACCAAAGCAAGGTGTAAAGATATCACAATATCAATGATTTCTGACAAGGTAGATGGTCACAACCAAAGCATGCGAGCATATTACAATATCAAGCAAAGATTACAATCAAGATAGATGGTCACAATCAAAGCATGCAAGCATATCACAATATCAAGAAAGGATTATAATCAAGATAGATGGTCACAACCAAAGCATGCGAGCATATTACAATATCAAGCAAAGATTACAATCAAGATAGATGGTCACAACCAAAGCATGGTATAAGGATATCACAATATCATGAAGGGGTTCTTACAAGACAAAAAAACAAAGGGTGAAAACCACAAACATATCTTGACAAAGATAAACAAATTATAACTTTATGGGTATGGAAATCAAATGAAACAAACGTGATGCTCACAAGTAACATGGATCGAACCCAGGCAAGATGAGCAAGAAACAAGGCAATAGCATGAAAACAATTACATCACAAATCATTCAATACTCAACCATTTTTAGCAAAATTTAGGTCTATCTCATGTGAAATTCAACAAGGAATGCAATGGCAATATTAGTTTTCCAAGATATGGCACCCAAATCAAAACCCGATAGCAGTTGCAAATGGAAGCCAGGCAATGCAATATGGTAGCTACAACTTAAGACAGCAATGATTAAGACCAGGTAAAGGTATGCACAAGTTTCAAATACATCATTCATGGATTCTTGATGATGATCTCACAAAATCAACTCCAAACAAAAACTGGTATATGGACTGCAACTTGGATCAAAGAGGCTTGAAATGTGGTTTTGGAAAGTGAGAACAACTCATGATGCAACATACATATTTAGCTTAATCACCATACATAAATGATTCTCCTATATCAAAACATGAATTTAAAGCAACTTGCAAGAAACTTAACACAAATTGATAGCACATGAGTTGAAAACATAAAACAGAAATTTGACAACAAGTTCTTTTGGTCATAACCACAATTAAACAAAGCAGGCCTGATGATACATACAATTCAGACCATGACAAATGGATCTCAACAAAACATCCTATCAGACATGATTAAATGATCTTGCACAGGTCAAACAGAATAACAACATAAGCAGCAACCAGGTCTTTTTGGTCATCACAACACCAAATCAACATAATAGTTCAAAACATGCCTTAAAAATGAAGGTTACAACCACATGGTAATGAACATAGACAGATTCTAAGTAGAAATCACATTTTTAGCAGCAACTGGTGTCATACCCTAAATTTGTCCTAACCATTGGTAAATTTTTTTTTTTTGCATTTTAATATTTTCTTTACTTGTGCATAGTTTGCTTAATTTATCATTATTTAGACGCGTGTCCACTTGCCATTGGAAAATTTTCCAACATTTATTGATTTTTCAGAGCTTTATCTTTGTGACCAATTAAAGGGCGACACGTGGCCTAAATTCTTTTTTTGTGAATTTTATTAAACTTTTTCTTTTTAAAAAAATGTGTTACTAATAATATATATATTTTTTGGTAATTATCTTTTTTCTTTTTATAAATTTTAGTTCATTTTTATATATATATATATATATATATTTTATATATATTTATTTAATAATTATTGTATGTTAATATATCAATTTTTTTTTTATAATTGTTGTTATTTATTTATTTGTCTTTTTATTTATTTATTAGAGTTATGTTAGTTTATTTTTTTTAATTATTAATTTAAATGTTAATAAATTAAATGAATGAAAAAGAAATTAAAAGAGGGTCAGAATTTGAAGGAAGATGGAGCAGAGGTGGGAGGAGGCCCATCGCATGTGGCCTGTTAAAGTTGTGAGGGATAAGCTTTTGGGGGAGAATAAAAGGGGGAAAAAAACCCTACGGAAAAAAGGACTGTTCATGATCCCTTCCAATCAGACCCTAACGGCACCATCTATCTTCTTCAAAGCTCATCAATCCGCCGCCATTCAGCTCACAAACCCAGCCGTCCATCTTCTTCAAACCCACCTCACTCCAAAACGGACCACCACCACCTTCGTTTTCTCCCAAATCCGTTCATCCTCTTTCTCTAAATAAACCCTCTCCATTTCCGCCGCCACTTCCAAACCCTCACCTCCAACACCACTCTGTTCTCGTTACCACTAAAACTCCTCATTCACCTCTTTGACCTCGCGGTAGCAACCTCCGACGATCATCAATGGTGTTAACAACGGTTTGAAGATTGTACGGTTTTCTGTAGTTCCGACATCGTGTTGTCACTCGTGTAAAGGCTGCAAATCTCCAATCAAGGGTTTCAAATAGCAACAAAGGATTTTATTTTTGGTTGGTCTTCTTCCTTTGATTTCAACGTTGTTTTAACTAAAGATGTTGAAAATATTTAAGTATTACTTATCTTCTCAAGACGATTTTGTTTCAACTGAAAATTTTGTTCAGAGTTCAAGTTTTGTTTTTCCACATTCATCGTCTGTAAATACTGAGGTCCATAGCGAATCATTCATGTTAATGATCACCGTGTCATTTCATTTAAACTCCATAACTGTGCGTTGATGTTGAGTAAGTGAAATAATATTTTGGGTTCGATCCCCTCTGGTGGATGCAGCTTCTGTGGATGTTGTGTACAGGTCTTGTATTATTCTTTAATGATATTAGATTAGATGCAGCTCTATTTACCTTTAAAAAAATTAATTAATTGTTTCTAGATATCCTTTTTCTTGTATCTATTTTAAACAAGTACTAACATAAGAATATAGCACTGGTTTGTGACGATATTGATTTTGGTATGGGCTTTTTGTGTAATAATTACATTTGATAGAAGTTGCATAGGCGTTTCGTTTGCAAATTAGTTACGGTCGGCGTGTGGTGTAGGTGGTAGTATTAAGCATTCATGGAGGTTATATAATAAGCCATTAATCCTCATT